CACCACCTGGCCTAGGTTGGATATTTTTATGACTGGTCTGGTCCCTAACACAATGATCTATAACCATTCTTAATGTAATGGCCTTACATACATTTCTATTTATTTATTTATTTATTTATGGTTTTTCGAGACAGGGTTTCTCTGTGTAGCTTTGGAGCCTATTTCTGGCACTCGCTCTGGAGTTTGAGGCTGGCCTCAAACTCACAGAGATCTGCCTGCCTCTGCCGGCCTCAAACTCACAGAGATCTGCCTGCCTCTGCCTCCCGAGTGCTGGGATTAAAGGCGTGTGCCACCAACGCCTGGTCTCTTACATACATTTTCATTTCTCATGGCTACTACCCACAGCAGTGAATATTAATTTCTAGTTTTTGAAACATTTGGTCGTTTCATTCCCACATGCAAGCAAATATTCTTGTCTTTCTCTGACTTCCTTTCTTCATGGAAAACTTCTATTCATACTTAAAGTCCTAGACTGCTTCTTCTTTTCCTACAGCAGATGCTAGTCTATCCCAGTCTTTTGGAAGGGCAGATTGACAGCGTGGGAGGGGGTGGTGTGTGTGTATGGGGGTGGGGTCACTGCTGGTCAGAATTCCCACAAAAGACCAGACCCTTCACCTTTTATATATTTGTCTCCTATTACTCATTGTGTTGTTGTTTACATGGTTTTTAATGACTTGTTTATTTACCACATATACGATGAACAATGTTCTGCATGTCTGCCCCCAGGCCAGAAGAGGGCACCAGATCTCATTAGGGATAGTTGTGAGTCACCATGTGATTGCTGGGAATTGAACTCAGGACCTCTGGAAGAGCAACCAGTGCTCTTAACTGCTGAGCCATCTCTCCAGCCCCTATGGTTACTTCTATCAGGCTCTGAGTTCCTTATAGGTGTATGCTAGGGTGACTTTTGAGAGGTGAACTATTTCTCGAAAAGTAAATCCAAGGGTCACACTTCCTAGAGGATGAATTCTGGCATAGTATTCAAAAGGGGGAAAGGAGTGTCATTACTTTGTATTTTCAGCTACCAGCAAGAATTTAAGCCTTCTACCTAGGGTACTCGGCATATTAATTTACCAACTTAATGGACATACCAACAAGCCAGACTTCCATGGCCCACTGTAAACTACAGTGGAGCAGGGCAGAGAGGCCTGTCACAGTTGTTTGCACCTTGAATTTCAGCACTCCCATGGCAGAGGGGAGTGGATCTTTGAATTTTAACCCAGTCTGGTTTATGTACTGTGTTTCAGGCCATCCAGGGCTACAGAGTAAGGGGGATGGGAGGGGAGAGCACACATTTAATTCTGACACTCAGGAAGCAGAGAGGCAGGGAAATCTTTGTGGGTTCAAAGCCAGTCTGGTCTACATAGTGAGACCCAGGACAAAATAGAAAGGCCCTGTCTCTAAAACAAACTGGGGCAGGGGTCAGGGCAAGCTGGAGCAAAGGATCAGTAGTTTAGGGAGTACTGGTTTTGCCAAGGACAGAGTTCAGTCTCCAGCACCCACATGGCAGCTCAACAATGATCCAATGCCTTTTCTGACCTCTGAGATCTTTCACGAACATGGTGCACATAGATGCACTGAGGCACACATAAAGTATTTTTAAGCAGTGGGGTAGGCTGGTGAGATGGCTCAGGGGTTAACAGCACTTAACTGTTCCTGCAGAGGATCCAGGTTCGGTTCCCAGAATCCATGTGCCAGCTCAGTGGGCTCCTGCACTCACGTGGTGGATGTACATACACTCAGGCACACGTACACATGAAATAAAACATATTTCTTTTTTAATTATTTATATTTTATGTACATTGGTGTTTTGCTTGCATATGTCTGTGTGAGGGGTGTTGGATTCCCTGGAACAGGAGTTGCAGACAGTTGTGAGCTGCCATGTGGGTACTGGGAATTGAACCCAGGTCCTTTGGAAGAGCAGCCAGTGCTCTTAACCACTGAGCCATCTCTCCAGTCCGTAATAAAACATATTTCTTAAAGGACACAGAAAACAATGTCACCCACGGCGGGTGGGAGGAATTAATTCCGCTTATAGGCAAGGGGGAGGAGGGTCCAGAAGGGAGTGCAGTCCAAGGAAGGTGAGTTTGAGCCAAACCTTGCAGAGTGAGTCTTATTTGGCAGGGTGAGGTGACAGGGCGGGCGTGGGGAGGAGTGAGTGGGGCAATCTGCTAGATGAAATCTGCACGTGCCTAAGAAGACAATCCTGGCACGCAGTATCTTCACTCCTCTTCCACCCATGCTCCCTTCTTCAGTCTCCTCCACCCTTTCCCTTAAGAACTACGACTTGGGATACTGTTTCCCTTCCTAGAACAGACCGCAGTAGACAATAAAGGGAACCTTAAACCTTGGTTAAATGACATCAGTTGCTCTACTCTGCCTTTGAGACTGCGGGTGTGGACAGCAGGGGAAGCAAGTAATGATGTGGTCTTCAGAGTTTGGGCACTGGGAAGAATGAAGTCCCCAGCAGAAAAAGAAATGGGGAAAAAATTGTGTCCCCACTCCTCTTTTGTCAACCCCCAACACACACCTGTCTGTGCAAGTGCACACACACAGAGACACACACATTTTGCTGAAGGCTGGAAATTCCTTGTTCTCAGCGGAAGAGAGTAGGCGGGTATGTGGGGGTGGTAGCAGTGGGAGGGAAGCGAAGAACAGACATCTCTGCTGCGGGCTGCGCTGTGGGGGCGCTCTGGGCCTTTGGTGGGGCCTGACAAGTCAATGTTGCTTTTTGTGTACGTTTTTTTTTTAATGTATTTATTTTAAAATACACAAGGACTCGGATACAATCCTACAGACACACAGATATACAAGTAGATACAAAGAAACAAACAACGTAAATTCAAAATACTGTCAATAACCTTGGATCTGACCAGCATTCTACAATTTGACAGTTTCCACACAGTCTCTACTTTAAACCTTATGGCAAGTCTTGAGGAACAAAGCTACAAATGATACTCGGTAGTTTCACTCTCACACACAGGTTCGCATGGGGACCCATTCCGACTTCCAAAGGGACCCGGACAAGTGTCTCAGCGACATTTGTCTCCTCTCCTTTCCTGGTCCCAAACCTGGGAGCGGAGGCCTCAGAACCGGCTTCTTCCCTCCATCACCCTCTTTGCTGGGCCAGGACCAGGCTCACACGCAGCTCCCATGCTGCCAGCCCTACCCTTCCCCACCCCCTACCGCTCCACTAGCTGCCCTCTCCCTCCAGACCCCAGTAGTCCGTGCCACCCCAAGGGGACCTGTGGGAGGGAAGGGGGGTGCCTGTAGCAAAAGCAGCGTGGGCGGAGGATGTGCGTCACGGGGAGCGTGGGCAGGGGGAGGGCGGGGGCACGAGGAAACCCGGGACGGCGCTGGCAGCCCAGACTCCAAAATAACCGGACGGGGGAGTGGGGGAAGGGCGCCACACACCCCGAAGGGATCGGGTACCTCCTAGGGAGGCCGTCTGGTCTCGCAGGCAAACGGGGTCGGAAGGAGGCCGGTGCTGCTCCTCCCTACCGCGTTGGGCATTTAACGGGATGAAGACAAAACCCCGGAGTTCTTGAAATCGTTCCCCACTCGAAAAAGAACCCATCCCTCTAACTGGAAACCGAGAGAGATTCCCTGGCCAGTCTGGAATGAATGTGGAATGTAGAACCCGCCCTGGCCCACGCCACCCACGCCCTGCCAGGGCGCCACTCACAAGTGCGGAGCCGAGGGGCGGGGCTGGGGCTTGGAACTAAAGGGATGTTGCCTGTGGCCAGTCCGCAGCGCTTCCCACCGCCCTTTTCCCCAAGGCCTGCACGGCCCTGCGTGCCCAGCCCCCCCCCCCCCAGCCCTCCTAGGCGTGGGCGTGTGTAATGGGAACCAGATGGGGCTGGAAGAAACGGAGGGGGCTGGGCTCCTTGAAGGCGCTCCTCCACGGTGGGCTGTCTTGCAGTCTAGTCGTTCACCTTCCCTTACAGGGTGTCCAGAGATGTCCGATGACACACGACCCCAGAAAAACGTAGCCGCCTTTTCCTGGCTTTGCCACCCAATCGTCCAAGCAGTAAGGCCTGGTCATCACAAAAAACGGTGCCACGAATAGAGGAAAGCATGGGGTATCCCCATCCCTGCCCTACCTAGCAAACCCCGACGTGCGTGCCTAATGGAGGCCCGAGGAAGTTGTAGCTTCTAGCATAACCCATCTATTAAACTTCGACAACTAGAGACAGGCAGGGAGACAACAAGGTTTCTGGGGGCCGCCTCTTCAAATTACAACTTTTAGGGCCAGAGAAGGGTGGCCAGGCTCGGCAGGAATTCCTGCGAAGCCCCACACCCACAGGTTTTTAACCCTAAGCGTGCATCCTAGGAGGAGGAGAGGAACCTCACACCCGAGCCTTCACCAACTTTTCCCCGCTCACTCCTAGCATTCAAACGAACGGCCAACGGCCGGAGTGCCAGAGTGCCGGAGTTGTGGGCACCGGGCGCCCGCGTCGTTGTTGTTTGGACGCCTGTGTGCACGTACGTGCGCTTCGGTGTCTTTGTATACTTGTGCGTGGTTGTGAAACCGCGCTCTCGGCTCACAGGGGTAGGAGTGGTGCAGGGAGTAGGAATGTAGCCGGCGGGGTGCTCACGTGGGTACGTGGGCGCAGAGAGGGCCGGCTGTGCATCCGGCGTGGGCGGCATGGAGCGACCTGCCCCGCCCGTTGGGTCTCCAAGCTCCCGCCCTCCACAGCCCGGCCTCGGCCACCTCGGTCCCCAACTTGGCGCCCGACTCTCGAGTCACCGCCTCCGCCTCCTGCTCCACACCTTTCCCCCACCCCCAAGTCTCCTCCTCTCAGTCCCCTCAACAGCCTCTCAGAGGCCTCAGCTCCCACCCCCCGCCTCAGGTCCCAGCCCCCGGTTCTGCCCACGCCCTCCTCCCGCCAGCCCGGCAGCCAGCGCAGCGCCCGGCCTCGCTCCCCGTGCGTCCTGCGGGGGAGGAGGCGCGGCGGGGCGGCGGGGGGAGGCCGGGGGGGGGGGGGGCGGGGCGGGGGGGGGGGGGGAGAGGCACACACAGAGGCGCGGAGGCTCGGAGAGAGGAGACGTGGAGGGAGGGACGGAGCCTGGACAGCGGTGGACGGGGACGCGCGCGCCAGGCAAAGCGCAGCGCTCAGCAGGCGCCGGGAACCGAGAGGGGAGGCTCGGGTGATCTCTGGCCTTCCATGCACAGAGCGCCCTCTCCTACAGCGGAGCAGCCACCTGGCAGAGGGGATAACACCCGCCGGACCCCGCAGCCCCGACTCAAGTTAGTGGGCAAAAGGAGGTGTCGGGGAGTGGAGATGGGTGGAGCTGGACTCGGGAATGGGGTCCGGGAGGGTGGAGGTCTCAAAGAGGACGTGGGGAGGCTGCAAGGGGGTGGGAGGTGGAGACTGATAGAAGAGGGGGTAAGTGTTCGAATTAGGGGACCTTGGGAGCAAACAAAGACCGGATGAACCTGGATACGCTAGAGTACTGCCTCGTTTTCCATTCCAGGCTTGCTCAGTGGGCATGACCTGGCACGTGAGCCCCCTGAAAAGAATGTCCCCAAGCGCCAGGGGAAAGCTCCAGACCTTGATCTGACAACAGTGAGAGGGGTGGGGGCGCTTAGCTGGTTCAGTGTCACTAGAAGGTGGCACCATCCCTAGGTCCGGGTTCTTTTGGGTTAAGGGGCCGTCTTTGGGGCTTGAAGGGGGCGTGCTTCAGGCGCCCCTTCTCATTAAATGACCACAGCGTAAGGAGGGGTAGTTTCCCCTTGGCAGCCCCTTCCTCAGGAGGCCTTCAGCCGCTCCCTCACTCCCTTTCAGAAGATTAGGGTGGAAAATAAGGGAGACGAGAGTAGGCGGGAGCCCCCAGGCGGTTTTCGCCCACAGACGCTGCCACTGTAGGAGTGTGTGGGAAGAAGGGCCCCGGAGCAGAACAATCAAAGCTTCCCTCCCCCATTGCCTGAGAAGAAGAGAGGGGCTTGCTGAATAGTGGGGAGGGCCACATGAAGGGAGGGGGGCAACTGGAGGGTACCGGGCAGCCTGGAAAGTTGAGACAGATACTCGGAGGGTTTGGTAACTTCTAATCTCAGAAAACTGAGAGCAGAGGCGCCAAAGGTCCAATAGGTTCACTGAAAAGCCAAGGAAGAGGCCACACCCCTTCCTCTCAGCTACCTGGGCAAGGAGTAGCCCCTCGTTTCCTAAGTTAACTTTAATGTGGGATGTTACATACATAACGTTGAGGCTGCTGAGTGGGGGAGGGGGAAGGACTGTAATTTTGGGTAAAGTGGGTCTAGCCATTTCAGGGAAGTGCTAGTGGGCCTTCCGTGTTCAAGGTTGTGCTGCCCCAGACCAGAAAGATCAAAGCAAAAGATGAGGTAAGGGGTTTCCCGACAGCTGTAGATAGGGCACTGGTTTTCGGTGCTTCTGGCTAGTCTGAGATTGCCGGCATGGGCACGGCTATGCCTCTGAGCAATACTCAGTTCTCAGAGTACTCGGCCTTGGGCACTGGGCAGAGAAGGCATTCAAAAGAGAAGGGATGAGGAGGAGGAGGCAGAAAAGAGAGAATTGTTAGTGTGGGTTGGTACCCAGCAGGGCACTTGTACTCACTGCCTCTCCTGCCCTTCCTTCTCAGGGCAAGTGCCTCGACCATGGCACTGCCTCGAACGCTGGGTGAGCTGCAGCTGTATCGGGTCCTGCAGCGTGCCAACCTCCTTTCCTACTACGAGACCTTCATCCAGCAGGGAGGGGACGATGTGCAGCAGCTGTGTGAAGCCGGTGAGGAGGAGTTTCTGGAAATCATGGCACTTGTGGGCATGGCCACCAAACCACTCCATGTCCGACGTCTACAGAAGGCTCTGAGAGAGTGGGCCACCAACCCAGGGCTCTTCAGCCAGCCAGTGCCTGCTGTACCCGTCTCCAGCATCCCACTTTTCAAGATCTCTGAGACGGCGGGTACTCGGAAAGGGAGCATGAGCAATGGGCACGGCAGCCCGGGAGAAAAGGCAGGCAGTGCCCGAAGTTTTAGTCCCAAGAGTCCCCTTGAACTTGGAGAGAAGCTGTCACCGCTTCCTGGAGGACCTGGAGCAGGGGATCCCCGGATCTGGCCGGGCCAGAGTACTCCAGAATCTGACGTTGGAGCAGGCGGAGAAGAGGAGGCTGGGTCACCCCCTTTCTCCCCACCTGCATCGGGAGGAGTCCCCGAGGGGACTGGGGCGGTGGGGATGGCTGCCGGTGGGACTGGGGGTGGTCCAGACCGCCTGGAACCGGAAATGGTACGGATGGTGGTAGAGAGTGTGGAGAGGATCTTCCGGAGTTTCCCCAGGGGTGATGCTGGAGAGGTCACATCCCTGCTGAAGCTGAATAAGAAGCTGGCGCGGAGTGTGGGCCACATCTTTGAGATGGATGACAACGACAGCCAGAAAGAAGAGGAGATCCGGAAGTACAGCATCATCTATGGCCGCCTGGACTCCAAGCGGCGGGAGGGCAAGCAGCTCAGCTTGCATGAGGTGAGGGCCCAGGTTCTCAGGACTGCCCTTAACTTCTGGGGTTCAGTCGATTGGCCCCTGGGAATTCTTGCATCCTCAAACTCTGGATCATTGTCCCCTTGGCCACCCGAGTTCCATGCACGCACACACTCCCAGCCCCAGCTGCTGTTGTACCTCCACCAGCTGAAGGGCAAGCTGAGATGGCAGTGAGCCCAACTGTCCAGCTGCTGAAGTCCCCTCAGATACAGAGGAGGTCCTGGTTGGGACGCTATGAGTCCCTCCCGTCTAACCTTCGGGATGTTCCTGGGTTTTATTTAAAGCTAGCATCCCTTGGATGGGCTCCCCCTCCCCCCTGGCGGTGAAGGGGTGAAACAGTAGGAGAATCGGCATTCACACTGGCTGTCCTCTTGCCACAGCTGACCATCAACGAGGCTGCTGCCCAGTTCTGCATGAGGGACAACACACTTTTACTTCGAAGGGTAGAACTCTTCTCATTGTCCCGCCAAGTAGCCCGAGAGAGCACCTATCTTTCCTCCTTGAAGGGATCCAGGTGAGACCCCCCCCCTTCCCTGGGCCACCTTTGGTTGGAATCCTGCCAGAGTTGGACATCTCCTCACTTGCAGCTCAGGCAATTCCAGGCCTGCTTCCCACCTACCTGCATGTCTTCCTCTTGCCAAGTCAACTTGTCCGAGGCCTGCTCTTCACTCCCAACCCCCCACAATAATGACTGGAGATGCCTATCCAACCAGCCTCTTGGAGTTTTCCTGGCCAGATTGTGTTCCCTGTGCATCCTGGAGCCCTCCCTAACCCTGCTTTCCCTATTCTCCTAGGCTTCACTCTGAAGAGTTAGGAGGCCCACCACTGAAGAAACTGAAACAAGAGGTGTGGCTTGGGGCTTAATGGGACAGGGCAGGATAGCCTACCCTGACCACTGCTTTGCTAGGTCCTCATTTCCCAATTTTGTGCATCCACAGGTTGGGGAACAGAGTCATACCGAAATCCAGCAGCCTCCCCCAGGCCCCGAGTCCTATGCACCCCCATACCGCCCCAGCCTAGAGGAGGACAGCGCCAGTCTGTCTGGGGAGAGCCTAGATGGCCACTTGCAGGGTGAGTGCATTACTGTCTGCTTTGGGAGGAGGTGGGAGTGGGCGGGTGGGTTACAGGAGTGAGCCAGGAGTCAACTGCCTGGAGCAGGGCTGGGAGGTCTGGCTGGATGGGGACAGAAGAGCCTATGGGAATGACTTGTCGGTTGAGGGTGGTTACCGTTGGCGGCAGCCCCCTGACCTGACCAGTGCCCATGCCCACAGCTGTGGGGTCGTGCCCAAGGCTGACGCCGCCCCCTGCTGACCTGCCCCTGGCATTGCCAGCGCATGGGCTATGGAGCCGCCACATCCTGCAGCAGACACTGATGGATGAGGGGCTGCGGCTCGCCCGCCTCGTCTCCCATGATCGCGTGGGCCGCCTCAGCCCCTGTGTGCCTGCGAAGCCGCCTCTCGCAGGTGAGGCAGCCAGCAGTGCTGTCCCTAAACACCCCAGGCCCACACAGGGTCCTTCTTTTGTAGGACCAGAGGGGAGGAAGAGGGATCCCATACGACTGTCAGGCGCTCCAGCTAGTCAGACCTTGAACAGGGGCAAGCTACTGCTGGGTTGTTTACGATGGGTAGGGTCTGGGCCAGGTGGGGATCGTTGACATGGGGGAGCAGGGAACAGAATGAGGTGTGAAGGTGAACAGTAGAATCAGGAGTAAGGGAAGCCTGGCTAGAACTGCCTAATGCCGGGGTGTGGAGTCGCGGGGAGTTGTGGGGATAGGGTTCCCCAGCTTGGAAGCCAAGGAGCCCAGAGCTGGGCGCTTTTGTGTGTGGATAGGAAAGGAGAAGGCAGGCAGAGGGCAGGG